GGGGTCATGAATTGAACAAACTTGAATCTACACTACCTGAGGATGCTTTCATATAAATAAGATCAATCATGGCTTGGCTGTTCTTGAGAAGAAGATTTTTAAAGAATTTGCTCACCTGAGAACCTTTGGTCGGCCATTGTGGCCCCGCCCTACCCCCAGGGGTCATGATTTGAACAAACTTGAATCTACACTACCTGAGGATGCTTCCATATAAATATGATCAATCATGTCATGGCTTGGATGTTCTTGAGAAGAAGATTTTTAAAGAATTTGCCTATATATTTCAATGTAAAACTTTGGTCGGCCATTGTGGCCCCCCCCCTACCCCCGGGGGGGGGGGGGGGGGGGGGGGGAGGGGGCATGATTTGAACAAACTTGAATCTACACAAACTGAAGATGCTTCCATATAAATATGATCAATCATGGCTTTGCTTTTCTTGAGAAGATTTTAAAAGAATTTTCCTATATATTTCTATTTAAAATTTGGTAGGCCACTGTGTCCCCGTCCTACCCCTGGGGGTCATGATTTGAACAATTTGAATCTACACTACCTGAGAATGTTTCCTCATATAAGTTTCATCTTTCCTGGCACAGTGGTTCTTGGGAAGAAGATTTTTAAAACATACCACCAAATTTTCATTAATTCCCAATTATCTCCCCTTTAATGAGGGCGTGGCCCTTAATTTGAATAATGTTGAATCTCCTTCACCTAAGGATACTTTGTGGCAAGTTTGGTTGAAACTGGTCCAGCGGTTCTTGAGAAGAAGTCAAAAATGTGAAAAGTTTACAGACAGATAGACAAACGGACAGCTAGACAGACAGACAGACAGACAGACGCTGGACAAAATGTGATCAGAAAAGCTCACTTGAGCCTTCAGCTCAGGTGAGCTAAAAAACTTAAGAAAATTAAGAGAAATTAATTAAAAATTATTTGTTGCTAACAATCACATTCATGTACAGATTTTTTTTCACTAGTCTTTAATGAGATTGCTACGAAATATAAATCTGATTTTTTTTTTAAATCTTTTATCATAAACAGTCTTCCTCCTTTTAACCTTGTAAAATTTTGACACTGTTATCTTCATTCTTCCTTTATGGAAATAAAAGCCTTTCACAACAAATTCATGGTCTATTCTGAAAAAAGAAAATATAAAATAAAGTTACAAGGGATGGTGTGCTTATTTTTCCTTGTAATACCAGTCGAACTTTCTTAAATTCAAATAAATATCATCTGAAGCCTGATATTAATGTGACAATGGGAAATGCATGTGAAATGACTTCTACAACAATGTTTATTAATTTTTATTAAATGATTAAACCCAATTCAAGATTCACAAAAATGTACGATTTTACTGATATAGTAGGGAATTCGAACTACACCCATCTAAAGTATAATAGTGCAGATCCAATTTCATCAACTTTTGGAGGGGGGTTTCTGTCTCATTAAATTAGCTCCACATCTTCAGTCATATTTTTTTATTGCTCCTCTATGAAGACCTACATGTACCATTGGTAGAATAAATCTGGCAACTAAATTATTTTTAATCTTATCATTAAGGAGGTGTCTCGAGAATGAAACAGAACTTCCTCATATAATCCTGATATAAAATCTTTTACAGATCAGGTACTACTTTAAAATGAATGTGTTGTTGGTTGATAAATTGGACCTGTGCACATTGTTAGATGTTGGTTAGTCTATCTACAGTATTTAGAATATTAATTAATAAATGATTAACACACCTGAATCCTAGTTCGTTAATAAATTGGACCACGTTGTCTGAGGTGGGGCAGTCTATGTAGTTCCTGACCAGGGTTGGTCTATTTTTATCTCCAACCTCAGCATGACCTAGATATCTCAGAGACCTGTAAATAATAACCGTAAAGATTAAATTAGTATGCATATACTAACAATTATTACAATATGAAGCATAAATAATTCAAATAAATATAACAGATACTTAATAGAATTTGGAGATTTTACTGATAATGTTTGATTTAAAAATTACACTTAAAATGTACAGTAAAATCAAATTATTTCCAACAGAATAAACTTTAATATATCTGAGGTTTCAAGATGACAAGTTTTCAAAACATAACAAGAAATTTTGTTACCAATGCCAAGTCACTTCTATTTGTATGGGAGTTATAGACTTTTGAGGTGGCAAAGTTTAACTGTATAAAGGATGATGTGACATAACTCCTATCTGGGGCCCCTTTTTCCACGACGAATTATGTTTAATCTACAACGATGATGGTAGTTTTCAAACACGAGTGAATAAATACGATGCCTTTTGAATAGTTTCAATAGTTCAGACACTTTTAAATTATAAGGAATACCGCATTATCTTTGATTTTTTAGACCTTAATTATCACAGCTAAATTCGGCCAGGTTTGTGCAAATATTTTGTCTTATGGCAAGAGAATGGGCGGGTCTTAGTACAATAGAGGGATATGCCTGTCCGAGAAGACCTTATATGGCTATTGTTGTTATTTCGCACTTAGTCATTGTCCAATCCGATGACAGAACAACAAAACATGCTGGTTTACTACGTTTACATTTTATCGCAGACACGTGGTTTAGGTCAATTTAGCTGTTATCCTATTTTACATTTCAAACTTTTAAAAAGGTCAGCCAATGCTGTTTATACTCAATAATACGCATGGATTTTCAGTATTTACGGTTTTTAGGACTAGAACAGCTGTAGAAATGCACATGAAACTTGTATTCACCGATACTCGGGAATATGTGTAGACCTAGCGAATTGCTCACTAAACACGCTACAAAACTTTAAACTAATGTATACATATCATGTATATTCTATCAATTGTTCGTAACAGTATATTATAAATTTTACTGTGGTCTCGGAAATGGTACATATGTAGATCTGTGTCTAATCTGTGACTCAAATGCATAAAAAAAAACAGTAAACTTCCAAGCATGTTTCCATAGTATTTTTGTGGTACTCACTCGTAACGAATTTCATTTAGCTGATTGGTCAGTTAGAAAGAATTGCTTGTGCCTCGATTAGCATATGAATTCATTCTTACTTCAGAAAATCTAGTTCCGTCGATCTGTTTATAATGGGAAAGGCAAACCAGATTTTACAATATTTTGAAAAATAGCATGTGAGCGCAGTTAGGTACAATTTTCTCCTTTCACATTTAGGTAGATTTCAATAAAATACAGTGACCAGACAAAGGAGAAAATTGTACCTACCTGCGCTCGTATATTTTAAGGGCTTCAGAGAGTGGGGCGGGGTTAAAATGCAATGGGAATTGAATGTAAACATGATACCCCTACCCCAATAAAAGATCTATATCTTTCAAATCACGTCTCTATTTTTTTTTAAAATAGTATTCTATAAAGGTTCACATATCAGTGATTAGTTACATACAAAAGTTTGAGTAAAATTTAGAAATTTAATTTTTATCAATATACGAGGGGCCGCAAGTCACCTCATCCTTTACAAAATCCTGAAAGACAGCGATTCATACTTACCAGCAGTCTGACTGAACCAAGGAATGTCTGACCCGGAACACAAGGGGGTTAGGGACCGAGGTGTTCTCTGTAGAAATATAAAATTTGTTTTGTAAATATACATACCGGGTATATGAATTCTGTGGTCAATGAGTATTATTTTATATTGTTACAGTGAGTGAGTTTTGGCTTTTAAATTTTTTTTTTAAAAATATTTCATTCATCAAGTACCATTCTACCTTCATATATGTAAGAACATTGACCTACTTATATAGTACACCATATAACCTACTTATATAGTACACCATTTGACCTACTTATATAGTACATCATTTGACCTACTTATATTGTACGTCATTTGACCTACTTATATAGTGCACCATTTGACCTACTTATATGGAAGACCATCTCGTGATCCTGGAAGGTTTCCTGCTGCAGGTCGGCATTGTCACACAGACCTTTAAGGCGGTTCAGCAGCGTCTCTAGAGAACTCTCCAGTACACTGCCCTGTAACAGGAACTCTGTGGTGAGAGGAGCCGCCTTAAATGTTTGTTGTACAATGGCTGGATCCATGTGTTGTGTTCAGCTGAAGTAGAAGGTTTTTATAGTGAAAAATATAACAAAAGAAAATTCAATCTGTTTTAATACCGTGCAGTGTATGTATGAAATCTCTAACATACTAAATAAAAAATGAATTCTGAATATAAAATTGTTTTCAGGAAGGTCTAAACTCTCCACTTTAAGGAACAATAGGCCTTACTGGTGTCATAACAGTATTACACTTTGGTTCACATCAAATCATGGCTGATGCAAAATAATCCCGGAATCTTCCCTTCCGATTCGGGCATTTTGATAGGAGACTGGAGCTGAATTTTTTTATGAGATGAAAAACAACATGTAAACTTCCTGTATTGACCAGATTTATTAAAATTTAGGGCGTGCTGATTTTTCTGTAGACTTTCAAGAGTGGGGAGTGATTAGGCCCTGGACTAGATTTTCAAGCACCTGCTCGACTTCGACCGAAACAAACTTGTGTGCCTTGCTGGTTGGCTATGTATTTTTTGGTACTAAAATCTTTATCAGTTTATAAAGAATGGTTTTACAAGATCTGAAAAGGAAACTTCTCAGAAGTTTGTTTTGAATTAGTTACATCTACTCAAACTTGCGCATTTTTGGTAAGAATATATAGCAGAAATTAATACTGTTGTGATACCTGCATACTATACGTGGTAAATGTAGTTTCATGCAGGTACAGTGATCTGCCCCTAGAAGTAATATTTTAAGAAATGTTATTTACAGTTATTTCACGATTTCTAATAGATTAAAAAATATTTTTAGCATCATTTAAGACCGAGCAATCCTTGGTGAAGAATAAGTAATTGAATTCATTATTTTCACTAATATTCCCAATGTACTGATGTAAGTAAACATCAGTGATTTCTGGTCACCAATAGTTCATTTGTCTTTGAGAATTTTCCTGCTGCAATAAGGCACGTACCCCATGATATAAATGAAAGAAAATGTCTTAATTAACTATGCGCACCTATATCATGTTTATATGAGATATTTTTCCTCAAAGTCCAAAAAGCAGTTCCTGTTTGTGTTTACCAGGTCCAGTACAATCTCTTGATTTAGCTATATAGCTTTAAATAGCTATATAGCTTTATTAAGCTATTTAGTGTAGCTTGATTTAGCTATTTTACTACATTTTTTTCATAAAGGTGTAATTTTCTCAGTATGTACAAAAAAGCGCATCTTGGTGCAGTGATGATATGCAACTTTGAACTCCTCTTCAAATAATGCATGTAAAAATCACTCATCAAATTACGTCTCCTTGAGAGACTTTGTAATCAAAGTTCTACGGGTTTTGGGGCTATTTAAAGCAATTGATACAGTTACTTCTGCAATGATATTATAATGGAGACCAATTATGTTCAACAAGATAATTGAATGGTAACAGTTCAGCACAATGAGAAGCAATCATGCCTCAAGGCACCCAAGGTAGTGGACAGTTAGTCTAACAATAGAAATTCTCTTTTTGCTTAAAAGTATTCAAAAGCTGCAAAGTTGGAACTATCTGTAATTTTGGTTGTTGTTTTAATAGCCCATAGTACAAACATGAAGAGTCAAATACATGCGACTTTTTGTTTATTTTCAGCAAAAAACATTTTTGTGAAAAACTGTATATAAATAACTAAATAAAGCTATTTTGAATAGCTTAATAAAGCTATATAGCTATTTAAAGCTATATAGCTAAATCAAGAGATTGTACTGGACCTGTTTACAGCGTCCCTAAATTTTTTGTACCATGTGTACACAAAACTTACCTGCTCAAAGAATATTTATGATAAATTGTGAGTTAAAAGAGACTAAAATTGTCTCACAATGAAAACACACACACACAGCTGGCAGTAGAAGATCTTTAAGAATAACCAAGAAAACTGAAGAGGTAACAAAAAGTTTTGAAGGAAATTCGAAATGAAATGTGAACACCGCGCCCGATGCGAAATTAAGAATGGCGTAAACCTTTCAGAACTTGTGCAACAAACAAGGAAAGCTTTGTTTAGTGTTTTAAGTAGAGCTAGAAAATTATGTCTACCTGTTGATATTTTATTACAGATGTTTGATGCAATGGTTGCCCCAATTTTAATGTATGGTTCAGAAGTTTGTGGATATATACGAACGGAAACCAATGGTATTATTTGAGTCATTCCATTTATTAAAAATAGAATTCTTGAAAGTGAAAAAAATCTTAAAAAAAAAAAAAAAAAAAAAAAAAACACTATTATGGAATGCCATATACGACAGCCAACTGCGTACTGCCAACTGCTCACTGCTTACTGCCAACTGTTAGCTGCTTACTGCCAACTGCTACACATATTTGAATAAATTTTCATATTTTTAGAGATATTTATGTAGTTTTTCAAATAACCAGACGCGGATCCAGGAATTTTTTTTCCAGGAGGGGTCCACCCCAGTAAAAAATCCAACCCAGAAATTTCTTCACAAGAGAAATAAAATAATCTCCTTTCTTAAATAAAATTATTTCGGCGGGGGTGGGGGTTGGGGGTGGGGGTGGGGGCGGTGGAAGGATATGCTTTATATCTCCATATCTGGGGGTGGGGGGGTGGGGGTGCCAGATCAGTTTTAGTAAAAAGTTAATGGAAAATGTTAATTTATTTTCAAAACACCTTTCCTGTTTTTGACATCTATAACACATCCCCTCAAGAAACAAAAAAGGCTATGGCATGCCAAGAAAACCTTAGCATTCTCTCCATATAGCAAACTCAATAAAAGCCGAATTAACGTTAATCTGTGATTCTTCCCCCGTGGAGATGTGCGCCAAGCAATTAATGTCAGCAGGTTTGAGGGAGGGATCTTAAAATTTACTGGGTTTAAATTATAGGTAGAATACTAATTATTTAGAAGATTTGCCCCCCCCTGTTTTTTTTTTGGGGGGGGGGGGTCGGGAGTCAAAAATAGGGAAGGAAATTAATTATAGTGAAGTAATTCTTTTAAAAAACATAAGCTGTAGTTCATTTTTTACGTAATTCAATTTCAAAATATTTTTTCTTAGTACAAATTGGCATCTAGTAGTTGTGGAAGTACCGCGTCGAAATATAGATAAAAGGGTACCAAATTCCCGGACGCTTACATCATTTCCTGGTTGAACAAGATGGAGACGAGTACTCAGAATGGGTAGACGTTACCCGATTGGCTATGTAAACATTTTCATTTAAAAGTGAATATTCTAATTTCTGTTGATTTTTTTTTATTTTTATTTTCTTCAATCCAACTTTTTTAAATATAAATTTTGGTACCAGTGCCTCTGACATTTTACGTATTTTGTAAATAAATAAAGATTTTTGACAGGAACTATTTAGGGCATAAGGGACTACTTCCTGGGGAAGACGTTTATTTTTTCTCTAACTAAGAATTAGCACTCCGACGGAGTTCCTCGGATGACTCGTACCTCGCACATAACGTTTGAATGGAGCGGAGCGGAGTCAGCCGAGGATTGCCGATTGAAGAATTAGTTAAGAACCTAGAATCCACCCCCAGAAGTTTGTTGCCGTAAATATTGTCTTGCCGGCGTTTTGGGAATATGGGTGATTTGCATCAATTACACTTTTATTGACTCCATCGCTGTCGAAATCGAACGAGATTTCTTGGCATGAAAAAAATAAGAACTGAAAAAGGGATTTTTAATATTATTAATTAATAAAAGATTTATGTGTCTTTGTTTTTACAAATATATTATATTTTAAATGCACAGGTCTAGAGAGAGAGAGGGATGGGGGGGGGGGTCTGGACCACCCCTTTTGGAATTAGTAAAGTTACATGCATTTAATGTGTAAACTAAGCCAACTTAAAGTGACCTTGCCCCCTTCCCCGAAAAAAGCAGATGCGTGTTAAGCGGTATGTACCTATGGTGGCATACTTCTGCCCCTTGTGTGCAAGTTATTTTTCTATCAAATATGTCGACATGCAAGTACATATGTTAACATGCAACATTGCTATGTCAACATACAACATAAATGTGTTGACATGCAAGAAAATTGCAATAAAATAAAAATTATAAAAAATCTTCAAAAGTCTCAAATATTGCCCACATGTGACATTCAACATGCTAAATGCAACTTATTTATGTTGACATGCAACTTATTCATGCTGACATGCAACTTAGTTATGCTGACATGCAAGATAAATATGTTGACATGCAACTTATTTATTTTGACATGCACCTTAATTATTCTGACATGCAAGATAAATATGTTGACATGCAACTTATCTATGTTGACATGCAACTTATTTATGTCGACATGCAACTTTGTTATGTTGACATGCAAGATAAATTTGTTGACATGCAACTTATAAGTTGCATGTCGACATAACTTAGTTGAATGTTTACTATGGTGGCATATTTCTGCCCTTTGTATGCAAGTTATTTTTCTATCAAATATGTCGACATGCAAGATAAATATGTTGACATGAAAGATAGTTATGTTAACATGCAACAAAAATATGTTGACATGCAAGAAAATTGCAATCAAATAAATATGATAAAAAATCTGAAATATCGACCACATGTGACATCCAACATGCTAGATGCTTCTTATTTATGTTAGCGTGTCAAGATGCGACATATTTATGTCAACATGCAACTTATAAGTTGCATGTCAACATATTTATCTCGCATGTCAACATAACCAAGTTGCATGTCGACATAAATAAGTTGCATTTCAAAATAAATAAGTTGCATGTCAACATAAATAAGTTGCACGTTAACATATCTAAGTTGCATGTCGACATAAATAAGTTGCATGTCAACATAAATAAGTTGCATGTTAGCATATCTAAGTTACATGTCAATATATTTATCTTGCATATTAACATAAATATTTAGCATTTAGAATGTTGGATGTAACATGTGGGCAATATTTGAGATTTTTGAAGATTGTTTTATAATTTTTATTTCATTGCAATTTTTTTACATGCCAACATATTTATGTTGCATGTTGACGTAGCTATGTTGCATGTCAACATATCTATCTTGCATGTCGACATATTTGATAGAAAAATAACTTGCACACAAGGGGCAGAAATATGCCACCATAGTTTACATAAATAAGTTGTATGTCAACATATTCATCTTGCATGTCAACATAACTAAGTTGCATGTCAACATAACTAAGTTGCGTGTCAACATAACTAAGTTGCATGTCATCATAACTTAGTTGCATGTCAACATAAACAAGTTGCATGTCAACATAAATAAGTTGCATGTCAACGTTTATCTTGCATGTCAACATAACTAAGTTGCATGTCAGCATAAATAATTAAGTTGCATGTCAGCATAAAAATAAGTTGCATGTTAACATATTTATCTTGCACGTTAGCATAAATAAGTAGCATATAGCATGTTTGCTTCACATGTGGGCAAAAATTGAGATTTTTGAAGATTTTTTAATTTTTTAATAATATTTATTTGATTGCAATTTTCTTGCATGTCAACATATTTATGTTGCATGTTGACATAACTATCTTGCATGTCAATATATTTATCTTGTATGTCGACATATTTGATAGAAAAATAACTTAATTGCACACAAGGGGCAGAAATTATGTATTGTACTCGTCAGATACTAACTATATTACATACAATTCAGTACAATGTAGTTACTCATTTACATGTATAGCTAAAATATTTTTTTCCTATATTTGTATACCGATATATGAAGATATGAAGTATAGGAAGCCCATCCCCACCCCCAGACGAAAATAGTTTAGGAAAGGAATTTTTTCTTCTTGTCAAAAATTTCCGGGTTGGATTTTTTTTTACCCTCTTAAAAAAATCCTAGATCCACCTATGGTTTTTTGAAAATTCACATAAATATCAATATAAATATGAAAATTTATTCAAATATGTGTGGCAGTTGGCAGTAAGCAGCTGACAGTTGGCAGTAAGCAGTTGGCTGTCTGTCGTATATGGCATTCCATACACTATACATTATAAGTGTCTCTTATAATGCATAGTGGGTTTTTTTGTGGGGCGACTGTTTAGGGGTTTTAACAATTTTTTCATATTGTACACATGATGAATAAGTATAATATATATAATTTTAAAAAAGAGTCCAATAAGCCCCGGGGTTGAATATCGGGGGGGGGGGGGGTCCTTTCCACAGGTACCTGTGATCTAAATTTTGTAAAATTGTAATGTCTTTATTTCATTCTTGAATTCTTGCCAGTACTTCAAAACAATTGATCAAGAAACCTTCCTTTCTGCTTAAAAATTGCTATGGCGCTCGCCGACCTATCTTTTAAAAGACATATATACACCACTATCCCTCGGAGCTCCTTAAGTGGCTCGTGCCCATATATGGAGCAAATAGGAGTCAATTAAAAACAAAAGCAATTTGTAAAGATAGGATAAACTTTTTTAAAGATAAGGAGATAGAATTAAATGTTATTTAATGATTTCCTTTTTCATATAAAACACTCTGTTCAAAACCAAAGGAATTAGATTTAAGTAAACAATTTGTTTTAGTAAGTTGTATATGAAACCTAATAACATAGACCGTTCAAATTCATATATTCATTTGATTGACGTATTTGTTTTCTTAGAGTTAAATTGATCATCTTGAAATACGTGCACAGGTAGCTATATAGAGATTGTGTGTCAGTAGAAGTAAAAAAGAAAATCAATGTCTCCGGTAGAACTGATAAGGCACCCAAATATATTAGTTTCAGTTTGAATAGATTTTGTGCAAAACAAAATGGATACTACCTTATTCAAGTTCTTATTTCTTTTTCCCGCGAGTGTATTCTCGAGTTCATTTCATTTAAAAGATGAATGTCCTAGTGATGTTACAGAATGGAACAAAGCCAAACTGCGACTAAAGTGTTCTTATCCTGATATCTATCACTGTCTTCTAGATGACAAAGGAAGGTTAGGGG